TTATTTACCCCGTTCGAGCTGTATAGCACATGGGGAGCACTACGGATCGGGTTAACTACATAAAGGAAAAAACCGTACCTCCAGCCGATAGCTATTTGGTATAAAGCTGGATAAAAACCCCTTCCCTTCGAAGGCTTTGCAATTGCGCGTCTTTTTTGTAAATAAAAATCCTGCACATAAAGTTACATTAGTAATTAAAAAGGTACGAATACAAGCGTGCATAGGAAACGCGCTATAACCCACGCGCTACGATCCCAAATAACACATTACGATCCGGGTTTTATTTGCAAAATTTAAACGACCGAATTAGCAATATCTTATTTTACCATAAAGCTTATTCGTTAATTATTAAGTTTTACCTTTTCCAGCCAAAGCGTATTCCTTTTATTTTCCGGGCCAAGCGCGCCCCTTCGAAAACGGTCCTTTCCTTTTTTTTAATTGGTGCCATCATTTTATCGGCCGATTTTGTTATCGGAATTGCTTTCGTCGCTATCGGTACTTTTATCCCTCGCCGCAACCCCGGCGCTACTATTTCGATAGCCGGTCGGATCTATTTTGGCCCGAAATCCTTATTTTTTTGCTTGCCTTATAATTTATGCGTTTACAAGCTGCACGTGCCCTAAAAGGGCCTTTTGCTTAAACCTTCGGCACGTGCGTTACAGGGCTCGGGGGTAAAAAACCCCGCTAACGGGTTGCAAATGGCTTCGCTGGAATCGAAAAGAGGTCGCACGTAAGTGCCATAGGGCTCGTCGATAAGGATAAAATCTTTTATTGCTGTGGGCTTTTTTGTTGTGGGGACCAATTGTTCGGAAAAACGTTGGAACGGTTTAGGGCTTAATAAATCGCTTTTTTTGCACGTGCGAAACAAAAAACCCGGTGTTCCCGGCAGGAGTCGAACCTGCGTCTTCCAAAGAGGACCTCCCAGCGCTGAACCACTGCGCCACGAGGACCAAAAAGTTAAATATTAATTCCCCAAGCAATTTTTTTAACCTTTATTTTTTTGCAATACCAACCGGTACCCCAAATAATAAACCGGTACCGCATGCTTCCATTATTAAAAACGCTTAATGCACCGTTTAATTCGAATTTGCTAAAAGCCTTTTGCAATATATAAAACAAAGCGCATAAATATTTAACAAAGCAATATAACATTTTAAACGATAAAGTTTTAATTTTTGCAAATATTTGTAAAGCGTTTAGCATTTCCTTTTTACAATTACACGCGCTTTTTTTTTTAACCTTTACAAGCCAAACCAAAGCTTATTTTATCCAAGTTATTGGTAAAAGTTATTTTTTTAAATTTTTTTATTTTAAATTGCAAAAGCATTTTAATACAAAAATTAACAAGCAATAATATTATACGGATTAAAATTCGATTACGTTCCAAACCGTTTGTTTAAAAAAGCAAAAACGCAAGCAAAAGCAAAATGGAAATGCTCCAAATCCTTTTAAACAAATTTTAAATTTGTTAACGAGCTTTTGGCTTTGTTTACTAACAAAACCATTAATTGGTTACGAGCATTTTCCGTGCAATCCAAAAAATGCCCGAGCTTAAAATGGCTTTTTTACGTCCAAAAAAAAAACGTTTAAAAGCTTGGCTTTCCAATTGCATAGCACTTTTTAAATAAAGGAAAACGTATTTATATATAGCAGTTACTTTGTTAAACGCAAATTCGAAAAAAAACGTTTGAAACGATCGATGGAATAAAAAAAATGCTGGGAAATTACGCTTTTACAATTTTTAAAACCGCAATACAAATAAGTGCTGGATTTGCAACAAACCTAGCTGCCGCTTTACCCGGCATTGCTAAAAAAAAATAGCGCAAATTAAAAAAGGGCTGGAAACAAAATCGCTAAAGCAACGGCGATTAAAAAAAAGTTTTTTTTAATTCCTTTTTAAATATAAAAAAAAGCAATAATAAAAACAACGAAATACCCGCAAACGATTTACAAATTTAACCAATATTAAAATTTAGCGATTAATTAAATAATAATAAAAAAAAACGGTTTTATTACAATTTTTTACCGTTGTTACCGCAAAATATTTCGCTAACAAAGCTTTTCGCTACCGCATTTACGTTTACTTTTAATGCCAATTAAATAAAAGCAATAAAAAGCAAATATTAAAGCAATACGTGCTTTTAGCAAAAACAAATGGTGCGGTATTATGCCCGATACAAAAGCCGCAAAAGTTTTAACCGCCGGTTTTACGCAATTCCGAACATTGCAACGCTATTTGCCAAATTTTTAAATGGTTATTGGCAATGCCAAGCATTAAATTCGCTTTGGCTTAAAAAACGCTTTATATAGCTTTGTTTGGCGAAATTACTTTATAAATTTCCGTTAAATTAATTATTTTTTATGTAATTTTAACGCCTACCCTTTTTTTTATATGCTTAAAGGATATGGACAAATTAAGGGTTTATTTCGACAATACGCGCAACAAATTTGTAACCAAGCAAAGCAAGCGCGTACCAATTACTAAATAATTAAGTTACCTATAGTTTTTTATCGATAAAGTTAGCGTTACAACGGCAGCCGCTTCGTATTTAACTAATTTATAAAGCGCAAAAATGCTTTTTTTAATAAAAGCAAAGCTAAAACGTTTGCATAAATAATTTGGTTATTTTTTTGTTAAGCGCTTTTAGCATGTGCTTAATTAAGCAAGCTATTAAGCAAATTGCAACGCTTTGCAAATAATTAATTAAATATGTTACCATTGCTAAATTACAAGTTTCGCTTTGCGACGCTTTAAATTGACGCTTAAAAATAACGTTAATTTTAATTACGAAATAACCGTTAACGTTATGCATTTAAATAGCAAATAAATGCTTTATGTAATTAATGCAAATATTGCATTTAACGCCGCAACCTTTTTTAAAAAAAATTAGCTAAAAAAATTTGGAAAGCTTTTAAGCGTTATTGGTTTAACAATTATTTTAACCCGTTTAACGTAATATTTTACGATGCAAAAACCAATTTTGCTACAAATAAATTTCAAGCAAAAGCAAAGCTTTTTGGGATTATTTGCTACCAAGTTTTTATAAAAGCTTATTAATTAATAAGCAAAGTTAAAAGGTATTACGGACTTTTCCGTTGTGCTTACAAAATAATTAAAAAGGAATGCTTTAATATCCACCCAAATTTAACGCTTTAAAAAGCAATTAAAGCGTTAAACGATACCGTTAAACCCAATAAATTGGGTTTTACGTTATTTGTTTTTGGTGCCATACCCCGATTAATTAACAATTCGGCACTTACAAAAACGCAAATTTAACAAACGGTAGCAATTACTAAAGCTATGGCAAAATTGCGCAAGCTTTTTGCTAAACGAAAAGTTAATAACGCTTTAAATACGCGCAACGGTTTGAATATCGAAAAAACGTTGCTTAGCTTTTTTGCTTTAAAAAATAAGGTTTTTATGTACCAAAAAAAAGGGAATAGCAAAAACTTTTTAAATTTTTATTAATAATAAATAATAAAGTTATTATCGATATGTTAAACGGTTTAATAACGTTTTGCAGCATTATTTGCAAATTTTACCACAAATTGGAAAAGCAATAAATAACAAATTTAAAAAAATAACCGGAATTATTTGCATACCCAATTTTGCTTAAATTGCAATTTCGAAAACAATTTTGCAAAATTACCGAATACCAAAACCATAATTTAATAAATAATAACAAAAACAATTTCGAAATCGAAAATTTCCCGCCGCCGCTTTCGCGCCAACGAAAAAAAACGCGCAAAGCATTTTAACCTTTAACATTTCCGGTTATTACATTAACGAATATACCGAATTCCAAATACAATAAACGCTTTAAACGCAATGCCGCGCGGAAAATCACTTTATTAAATTTTGTAAGCGCAAAAAAAATAAAATCCATGCGTTTAGCGCTTTATTACCGCTAAATTGGCAAAATTACAACCCCGGCAAACCATTTAAGCAATTAAACCAAAAAAAAATTGGGAATTTATTGGCCAATAAAATAATAAAACCGATAAAAAAACAGCAAATCGATAAATTAGCAAAGGTTTTTGGTTTACAAATGGTTAAAAAGGTTGAAAAAACAAATTCGGCACTTTACGAAAAGTTAAAATTTGGAATGCAAAAAAAGGTACAACAATTGGGAAAAGGCAACGTCGCTTACCCAATTCCTAACAATTATGCAATGCAATTAACGCTTAATCTTTGCGCTTGCATTAACTTTTATAATTACAAACAATTAATTAATAATTCGGAATATTAATTAAGCATATATTTAAGCCAAAACCGAGCTGCAAATGACCGTTTATTTACATTTACCCAAAAAATTGCAATAACATTATTTATTTAAAATTTTGCTTTGTTTAATTAAACCGTTTTACGGATTGGCCGAAACGGGATTGCATTGGTTCGTTACATATTAAAAGCATTACAAAAAACGGTTGGATTATTCCATTTCCAATTACGATTTTTATTTGCTTTTTTTAAAAATTGGTAAAAGCTTTAAAATCGTTAATATATAAATTAACGATACGTTAAATTTGGGCAGCAAAGTTTATATGGAAAAAAAGAAATTGCTTTTTTAAAAGCAAGCTTTAAAATTAAGCTACGGTTTATTTTTGGCCCGGAAAATAAAAGCCATTTTAACCGTTGCAAAATAACAATTGGCAAAACGATTATTTGCATGCAGTAAAAAGGACAAGCAAATTGGTTTGAACTTGTACTTTGCAAATACGATAACATTTAGCAACAATACGTGGTTTAGCGCGTACAAAAAGCATATATTAATTCCATATATTTGCCGGAAACCGTATTTAATTATTTTGTAACCGCGCAAGCCCAAAACCCTTTTAATACAAACGTTACCAAGCTTAACAAACGCATTTAATAACAAATTAATAACGCGAACAAAAGCTTAAATTATATGCAAATCGATTTAATATAAGCCAAATTATACGTATTTGTAAACGGGTTTTTTGCAAATAACAAAAACTTAAATTTACAAATCGGTTTTTTAGTTATTTTTAGCGTTAAATAAAGCATAAAGCAAAAAAATAGCTTTTAAATTACGGGAAATATATTGCATTAAAGCTTTATAAAATGCAAAAGAATAATACGCAGCGTTTTTGCCAGCGAAATTTACGGCATGGTTAACGGGTTTAATGCAGGTTACGTCCTAAAAATTACGCCTTTTGCAATCGGCGAAAAGCTAAACCTGCCCTTTTGCAAATTGGTAATTTGCATTAATAATTTGTTGCTTTACTAATGCTTTATTTAATTTAAAATAATAACGGAAAAACGCTTTATAATAAATATTATGGCTTTTTGTAAATTTTATAAAAAACGAAAAATCGATAAAATTCGGTGGATTGCAAAAGCAAACAATTTTGCGGATATTATAACCAAAAATTAGCCAAATAAAGCTTTTAAAAATTTCGTTAACTTTAACGTAACGATAATTAAAGTTAAAAAATGGGTAAACCGAAATTAAAAATAAAAAAAAGCTAAAAGTTGCTTTAATCGATTTTTTTTATGTAAGTTATAAACCCCGAAAATATAGCGCAAAAAAGCATGGAACCGTGCTTTTTATAATTAATGGGAATAGCAAATAAAATAGCCCAAAAAACGATACCATAATCTCCTTTTACTTTTTATTTTTTTTGTTATTAAGCATTTTTATTAAAACCGCAGCATTTTACATTTTTAAATTACCAATTAGCCCGCAGCATTACGCTTTGTTCGCGTTATCGTAAAAAAATTACTATTTGCTTTAGCAAATATATTATTTTTGCCCGTATTTTCGTTGGCAAAAATTAGCATTATTTTGCAAATGGTTTGCTATTTATTAAATTTTTACAATTAAATAACCTTTGTTAAAAAAAGCATTTTGATTATTTAATTTAAAAATAAACTTATAGTTTTTTTGCAAACCTTTTCGTTTTAACGCTATACGGCAAAAAATTTAAAAGCCGAACGTATAGCTAAAAAGGGATTAAAAATAATTATTAATTCGAACTTACAAATAAACTTTCGAAAATTGGAAAGTTTATATAAATTTGCATGTATGGCTTAAAACGCATAACCAATACCTTTTTTTATTTGGGATTTAATTTTAATAGCTACCGCTTTTATCCAATTCCGGCATTTTGCCAGCCAAAGTTAATTTAAAGCATTTTAAATATGGAACCGATCGGAAATCCCCTTTTTTACCGCGCTTATTAAAGCTTGCAAAAAACGGGTTTAAACTTTTACTACCAATAGTAAAACGAATAAAAATTGTAAAAACAATTTTGTTTTTTTTCCCTTTTTTTTTAAGAATTAACAAATTAAAATAATTTTTAAATTGTTAAATGGATAAATCGATATTTATAATTACAACCAATGGATTTTATAATTGCGTCGAAACAATTTTTAATTGTTTATAAAGCACAAATTAAGTTATAACTTGTTCGTATTATTCGATATTAACATCCATAATTACAACCGATAAATTTTGTAATTGCATCGAAGCAGCTTTTAATTGCTTAAAAAGCATAAGCTAAATTATAGCTTGTTTGTATTGCTTAATGGAAAATCCGTTTTTAATTTGGAAAGTTAAAGGTTTTGCAAGCTTTTTTTCCTTTTTACGACCAGCTTTTTGCGCAGCAAAATTTTTATCCAATTAAACGATAAAATTGCTTTATGCATTTATTAAATCGGCATAATTTATTTAACGCGTTAATGCCGCTCCCGTAATAGCACTTTCCGCAAATTTAACGCAAATAAATTGCATAGCATTCGAAAAAAACCTGCCGCCCACGTTATACGCTTTTTCCGCCTTTTCGAAAGCATTTCCAGCAAGCGCAAAACCCCCCGAAAAGGTAAAAGCAAAATCGTTATCGGCCATTTTCGGTTTTATCGAAATAAAAGAATTTCGAATTCGATGCTTTGCTTTTTAACAATTTTCCTTTTTAAAACGATCCGCAAAAGGACCCGATACAAATCCCACAAAAGCATTAGCCGCGTTAATCGGTATAAAAGGCTTAATAACTGGGATTTCGGGATTAGCAATTGGAAAATCGATAATTTCGGAAAGACCGGCAATTGGATCGAACGTAAAGGTTTCGTTCGGAACGAATGCTTTAAAATAAAGCACCGGAGCAAAAGCAAAAAAAGCGCCGTTTAAATTTTAAAAGGTTGTAAGCCGAATTTAAATTTTTTTTTTAAAGCGGCAACTTTTGCAAGCTCGGTTATACCAAGGCCTTTTTTTGTTATTTGCCATTTTGGCTGCAAAAACGATTTAAAAAGTAACAAATATTTAATTAAAATGTTAAAAACAACAAAGTGCAAAGTAACAAAGCACCGAAAAGGAGGTTTACCGGTGCAAATTGGCTGGGCTGCAAGCGAAATGGAAAAAGTGCCTTTTATAAGCGCAAACCTTACCCCCAAAAATTACAAAAGCATTCGCTAATATTGTTTTTTATTAAAGCAATTTATTAAATAGCTTTTTATTGCGCTAAAATTTAAGCTTGCACCACTTTTTTTATATTATTTTTCGCGTTAATAACCCGGTATTCCCAAAAGTATAGGAATGCCTTTCCAAAGCGCATATCCCGATCTTTTTTTTCCCGCATCCATTTATAACTTGCATAAACTATCCTTTTATTAAGTAAAAGTCCGGATTACCAAATCCGGCGTTTTTTCCTTTATTACAAAACCCATATGTTGGGGCCTTTGGAAATTCCGGCAATTTCCAGATTAAACCTTTTATGTTCGGAAAGGTTTATCCGGCGTTTGCGCATAAAAAAAAAGTGCTGGTATTGGAACAGTATTTTTGTACGCGTGCAATCCGGAAAAAGGAAGTTGTTACAAAAGGCTCCGGGATCTTTTAAATCCCGCACGTGCCAATATTATTTGCTTTAAGCAAAGCAAGGAACCATTTTGTTAAGTAATCGTCCTTGTGCATATAAAGGGCAATCCTGTGCCTTATTTTGGCAAATAAATTCCTTTTTCCTTATGCACAATATAAAACTTCTCCCCAAATTTTAAAGATTTTTGTTTATTACTTTTGGAGATTTCCAAGCCGTTTAACAAAAGTACCAAACTTTTACTAACAATTAAGTTATATAACAATTTGCGCAATAATACCCGGTTTAAATTAAGGTATTTTGTAGTTAATATCCATTAAATAACAAATAAGTTTTAACAATGCAAACCTTTCCTTTTAAATTATAAAATAACGGTTTGCGGGCTTTTACAACGGAATTAAACATTATAAAGTAATGCAACCCTTTTTTTTGCTTGCAACGCGGGTTTTTACAAAGGAATTGTTATTATAAAGTAATGCAAACCCTTCCTTTTACTTGCAACTTGCTTGTTTATAAGCTTTTCCACAAAGGAACTAAACATTTTTATCACTTAACGAAGTATTTATAAAATTCCAAATAGCGTACTTATAAAGCGCTCGCTCAGCGTACAAATAGCCCTTAAAATGCTACCCCAATAAGGTTGTACAATTTTAATTTTAGCTTTCGTAATGCTTTTTAATAAAGTTGCATAGCGTATTTATAAAGCGCTTGCTTAGCGCTGCAATTTGTGGTTTTAACGCTTTATAGCGCTTTATAACGCTTATTAACAAGCTTAAAAAGCTATTAGCAATTAAGCTTAATTGGTAATTTATAGCGCTTTCGATTGCTATGGTTAATTAATTAATTTGGGGGCTTACAGCGCTTTCGGTTGTTGTGCTTAATTAATTAATTAGGCTTCGATAAGCTTTTAATCGCTTAAAATTACTGGTTTTCCCGGGTTTATAACTTGTTAAATTACAAAGTTTAAATTAAAGCTTTGCAACACAATTACAGCAATTTATAAAATTACGTTTACAAAAGTTAAACTTGTTAAACATTATAATATAATGCTAACAAGCCCACGTTAAATGTTAAAAATAGGTATTATTTTAAGGAAAGGGTGCCAATTTAGTGCTTTTTTTTATATACTTACTAACGTTAATCCCGCGGGTTTTTACCTTTAAAGGGTTGCGGTGCCGCGCGCAATTTTCCGCAATATTATTTTGTATAAGGATTTTTAAAAATCGATTTACGGCCACCAAAGCGATTTCCGCGTTCGGCTTCCAAATTTAACTTGTGCCAATTAACGTGGGGAAGTGCAGGGTAAGTGCAGGGTAACACCTTACATAACTTGTTAATTTTAACAAAAGCTAAAAAAGGTTAAGGAAAAAGTGGCAATTTCGGGGCAAAACGGGGAAAGGTTAAAGCGCAAATAAAAAGCGGGTAATTTACCGGATTGGTTAAAAAGCGATAAAGAAAAACGGGACGTTGGAACGGGACGAGGGCTGGGCGGCGATATATATAAGCGGGTAACCGTTTAATTGCGCCCGCGCCGTAAAATTCGATACCAAAGCAACAATTCCAAGCAATAACGTTATTTCGGCAATATTAAACAATGGTTTAATATTAAACGATAACGTTACCGCCGGGGAAGGAAAAGGCGGATGTTACGGGTTAAAAGCCCGTATAATAGCTTCGGTTATGCCGGAACCACGCCGTTACAACCGGGCAGCAATTTCGTAAAAATTCCAGCCATATTTGCAACGCTACATTGTAGCGCTTTAGCAATAACTTACTGGGGAATTGGGTTTTTTTTCGCGAAAGGGGATCCGGCCAAAGGCCTTTTTTTATTTTTTACCCTTCGTAATAATATAAATTCCTTTTGGCTGCACTTAAGCGTAAGCTGTTGGCGTAAGCCCTTTACACTTTTGGAAAAAACATTTAAACCGCACTTAAATTATTTATAAATCCTTTTAATTTGTTAAATTACCTGCTACTGTTAAGTACGTTTTAAGTGCTTTACTTTAAAAGCAAAGGCTTAATTGTAACACATGGGTTAAAGTTAGCTTGTAGGAAGAAATTTAAGTTAATTCCTTTTTAAGCTAAAGTTATCGTTTTTACCTTACAGTAATATAAAACCTCAAACCCAATTAAACTTTTTACTTTATTATAATTACTTTGTACAACCTTCGGCTTAACCCCGTAACATTTTTAACCGGGTTTCTTTACGAAGGAAAACCTTAATTTCCTGGTGGGTTGCTGCGGAAGCGCCGCTATGTAGCGTTTCGGGTGTAGCTAAGGTTTTTACGGTATAGCCGCCCGGGTATAACGGTGTAGCTCCAGCGTAGCCGCAGTTACAACACGGGCTTTTAGCCCGTAACAAATTATATTTAAACGTATGTTTTTAGCGTAAGTGTTAAGTGCACGGGCGAGGCCGCCCAAGCAAAGGAAAGGAAAGGGCGCTAAGATAAGCAGCAAAGCACGGACCCTCCCGGTAACGTGCCGGCGAATTACCAATATCGCGGCCGAAATATAACGGCGAAATTAAAAGATAAAACGAAGCCTAAATTGTACGAAAGCGTTTAAAGCACGGGAAGGATTTATAAAACCAATCCCGCGTGCCTTTAAAAGGGTACAAAAAGGGAAAAGGTTAAAAAAGGAACAATTAATTGTATAATAGCAATTTGGAAAAAAAATTGCATCG